ATTCGAACCCGCGACCTCCAGATTGTGAGTCGAGCGCCTTATCCACCTGGCCATGCCGGGCCCCATATAAAACGTAGTTCCGTGTGTGATTGAACAAAATCTCCTTGTGAGTTATGATGATGATAAACATTTACAGAGATTCTGCTACCTTAGATCGCAATATATCCAGTTAGTTGAGAACAAATTAACATCTTTTCATGAGTTTCTATTCTTTGAATTGTGTACTCCACCTGAAACATAATAATAATAAATAAGAGACATGTTTCGAAAATATACAAAAATAGCGTTAAGTTAGCTATTATTCTTGAAAAAATAATAGTAACCTACTAATGTATCAGTCTACACTAAACGCTAGAAAATATGCAAATGAACTTCAGTTGGTAAAGTTATTATTAACGAATTACGCTATACGTTTGTGTTTAATATAACATCATTTGTTAAGCAAAGTAACGTAGTATGAATATACTTTAATAAAACGGCTAGGTTTTAATGGTTTGACTTTTTTTAAACAGTAAAATCCTTTTCTGATCATGTTTTTGGAGGAACGAAAAGCTATCCGCTGTAGAGTCGTATACCTGTAAAGCAATAAAGTAACGTGAATTTAGCTAAATATATGAAATATTTAGTTTTTGACAACAAAAAATTAGTTCTTCCTCACCCTTGACTGACTCGTGTCAGTTATCTGACAGTTTCCTAACAAGAGTAATTGCTAAGTTCTTGCAACTGCGACTGGAACTAAGCCAAGTGTCGTTTCCTTTGTTCCATAGGGCGTGTATTTGACTGATATTACTGTGTGATCTAAAAATCACTTCTCTTATTTCTCAGATTTAGCGTTTTCACATACGATAAGAGGTAGAGTTTCTAATTATGAAGAGTATTGGTTTTAACCAGTATGATATTAATCGCTAAGCTTCTGAGAGTCTTAATACACTTTTTAAATATTTATCATAATACATGTAATATATATATATATATTGTTGTTTTATTTCAAACTCTCCAAGTTTCTCTCCTTACAAGGTTACGAGACACCTCACGTTAAACATCCTGAAATATTAAGCCGCCAATTTTGAGAAATGTCTCTAATCATGTTCTTTTAATTATTGTATAAGACTGAAAGTCATTTTTACGAAGAATTGCCCAATTTAACACTGTGGTTATTCCATAGTCTTAAAAAAAAAGTCCAAGTTACGACAAAAACTAAATCTCAACAAACGTTCACAATACGTTTAAAATTCCGTGAAACAAAGAAAGGTTCAGCTGTTTTATTATTAAGTAGATTTTCCTCTTTTGGTGTGTATAATCTATATATATGTATAGCACAAAATATGTGTGTTCGTCTGTTTGTCTGTCTGTTATTTAACTACTCCTTTGTCGCTGGGCCAATCTCAACCAAACTTTGTGTGGTGATAGTTTGGAACAAGAGGCATGTTCAAACCCCTGCACACCCACATTATTGCTGTTATTTAACATTGATTATCTATGACGTAAGTTATCGTTAACTACATTCATAGATAGTGCCACGTCCTTATAAACAACACATATTAAATTTTTCTGTAACACAACTTACACACAATGTGGGGGCACACAAACAACTTATACATCTTAGAGAGTGCATTAGCTCTAAATATGGAGGAATGCAATGAAAATATGGCCAACACTATTGCAATATAACTCCAACACCCACCCTAAAGCAGATATGAAGAGCTGTTTCTTGAATTATACTCACTTCCGACTTTGATTCGTGACCTTTCAACTTTGGCCCGTAAGACATCTCTGCAGCCAATGGCCTTCATTTAATTAATCACGTGAAACGCTGTGGAAAGGCATCAAGAGCTGGGTGTTGAAAGATGGTAACAGAAAGCAACCCTACGGCAACTACGTTTCGCTACCTCTTCCTACAAAGTCACCCTGATCATCACACAATGTATACCATGTTTTAAGTATATACATATGTAGTTTTTAAAGCTTACACAAAACTTTTGTTGAGGTGATAATGAATACTGTAATAATATGTTATGTCCTAAATAAATTGTGTGAATGTTAGGATTTTTGTATTATTTATCATAGCATCCACCCCCACTTTTTTAAATTCATAACCTGGACAGAGGATGCGTACCTCAACTTCTATAAAAATAAACCCAATTAACTCAAAACCGTTTCAAGATATATGCAATGTGCCACTTTGAGTAAAAATATGTATACATACTTAAGGTAGCTATAGTATGTTTCATATAAACTTCTGTTTTCAAAACAGGCTTCGACTTGAAACCGGTTACTCAACTTTTTTCAAGATGGCATTGGGCTGTGGTGCAAAATGTGCCAAAGTTGTTCTTATGACATTTAACTCGATATTTTGGGTAAGTAAGACTATTTTTGTATTTTTCTTTAATAAAATTCGAATTCTTAGAAATTGAAAATACCTTGTTTGTTACGTTATGTAATTTTAAAATTGAAATAGAGCTTTTGTGTGTGTGTGTGTTTTATTTGTTTTTTTTATTGGGGGTTAAATAAGACTTTAATATATTAATCTCATTTTCAGTTTATTTCGTTTTTAAACTCAACTTTATCGGCTATACTATATTGCGTCACAATGACTGCCTTGTAAGACAAAAGACATTTAAACGAAACCAATAAGTTCTCCAGTTTGAAATAACACTTATTTCAATAATACTACGTAAATAAATTATTTAAAGGCAGTTTATAATATTCCAAGTTTGTTGCTCATTAAATTCTGATAAATAGTTTAGTTAATCCTTCATTACAATGGAAATCAGAACATGTACTATTATCTCCTATGAGCTTTAAGATTTTCGATTATTTTCTATTCTATTGAGACTCAGTTTCTCTAAAACTGATTGCGAAAAGAATATAGCTCTTGTTTATCAAGTTTGATAACTAACTTCTAGACAAGGTAGCTATTTTGTGTTCATTTTAATTAACTTCTAGACAAAGTAGTTATTTTGTGTTCATTTTAGAAACACTGTCATAAAAATTTAGCATTTGTCAGAAATTGAGATAGTTTTTATATTTACTCATACCTTTGTATTCTGTCTTTCTGAAGAAGAGTTTAAGGCTCTTCAGCTTCAGCTAAGTTTTATGTGTATGTTAAACTAAAAAATACGCCTAGCTATTTTACACACATAAGCTGTATAAAGCTCTTTCTTTGGATGACAATTTCTATCGTCAACCTAGCTGGGCTGACGATAGCTGGCATAACTTGAAACTGTATTTCTCTGCTATTCGTGGTGTGCATTTCTTACGTAATGATAGCTTGTATGTTTTTGTATCAGAATGTTAATAATGTTTAGAAAAAAGAATACGTTGCAAATATATTCATTGTATTGTATTTATTTATTTATTAAGTGTTCTTCTGCGGTATTTTACATAATACCTAGTTGCAGATAAAAAGGCTTAGAATAAAATTTAGAAACAAGAGAAGAAGAAACAGACAGACATTAATTAAATAAAAACAATCGATGTTTTATTTTAATTCTGACGAATTATAAAAAGAATAGCTCGGCTTTATATACAATACTAGTTTTGGTCAACTAAAGTTCCTATTGTAAGAAAGCCTGCATGTATTCAAATATATAACTTATTTAACCTTTCCTTCTTAGTGTTCCAATTTTTAGTTGTTGAAGAGAATCTCCAAGGAATTTATATTATTTGTATACGAAAAAAAATATGGCATACAAAACTATACTCTTCTTGTGATACTTGTAAAATACCCAGAGAAAATTTTAAATCAGTGCATTCTATTGAAAGTAGAATCGCAAAGATTCCAATTTGAACTGACGGGCCAGGCTTTCTTAAGTGTCAATGTTTCAACTAGAAAATGTTGAAAAATTATCCTATAAGTATGATTTATACAGTTCTTGAAAATATAACTACTGAAAAACCTTGTGCCAAAATTCTAGCACTCGGGCAACATTCTGTCATATTTTTCCACCTGGATGAAGGTGACTACTGTTTTTCACATATGTTCTCCTCTACCAGATTATATTGTACCTAGAATAAAAAGATAAAAAGCAAACAAATTGTAACAAGGTTTTCCCTTCTACTGCCTTTTTTCTGTGATAATATTTTAGCTGCCGACTTTGTTTACCATCCATTCTAAAAATACAAGTATGAAACCCATCACCGAAATGCATACCACCTGTATATATTAACAAAGACAGGTGTAGAAATTAATCTGATTCTCCTTTACATTTCTACAGTAAATCCAGCTATAGCAGGCTAATAAGAATAGTCATTTTTATTGGACTACTTTCACATATCATAAATGTAAGCTTTTATTATAATATGGCATTATGCTACGAAGTGGAAAGCATATATAAGGAGTTGAATTAAAATAGTGATCTCCTTTACCCATTTTGTGAACTCCTTTACATGCATCTCACCATGTCCCCAATTATATGTTTTTATAAATAGACCCCTAATTATCGCTCACAGATTTAGCTTTATAATTTATCAATCATCTAAACCAAAATCTACCACCACTCACACTATTTGAATGTTAGTTATACAGTTATTACCTGTAATGTAATCCACTTTCAAGGACTTTTATTGCAGGAAAATAAGTTGATTTGTGACTAATAAATTTCAAATCCACCCTACTCTAATCATCTGCACATGATGGAAACTAAATATGGCGGGAAAAGCTCGGAAGCAAAACTAAAGAAAAGGAGAACACGTAAAGGAGTTCATGCAATTTCATGTTCCGTGATTTTTATTCAAGAATGCAATTTACTCTTATCCTTTCAGTTACTGATAACAACAAATGTCTTGGTTGTTATGTATAACGATAAAACAAAATGACATAATTTCAGTATCTAAACTAGATATATGCTTAAAGGAGATCACATGCTTAAAAAACTAATTTTATTACAAGCTCCAAATGGACATACCCAAAATATCTTTTTTTGATACCCTGTGTTTGGAGTATGGTCAAATCACATTATATACTTTCCGGATTGATTTTAGACTCTAATATTTTATTTACCCCAAAAATTGTGATTATTGTCTTGAAAATAAACAACTGTAAAAGAGAGCACATTATTATGGCGACATGTTATTTTGGGCATTTTTAAATATGAAAAGGGAATGGGACAATCAGCTAATAATAAATTTTCAAAACATAAATGTTTACTAATTAATCACAATAAAGGCTTGAATCATACTTACAATTTTTGGGTTTGTGTTGTTGCTTTTAAATTATTTTTTTCTGCTGGCGACATGTTACTTTTAACACCCCACCATTGTTTATTTCCTTGGTTTGCTGGAAAAAAACTTAACGCAAACCCAACCTATCATACATATGTTTGGAAAGATCTGTTCATCGTCTATCATTTATAAATTATTATATGTTTGTGTAAGGCATGTACTCAGAGAAATTTGCCTCAGAACACTGGCAACATCGAAATTGGACACTTAAGAAAGCCTGGCCCTGACTAGAGCATGATTTTGGTGTATCAAAAATAAACAAATACCAAAACTAAAACATAAATCCAGTTTAATTCATTATACATGCACGTGTTGTTGCTGCATTTAAGTTGGTTATGTAGTTAAAGTTGCAAATAATGTTAACTTATTCATATAAACATGAAAATTATGTGCATGAAAACTCGTAGCTAATCCTTCACAATCTAAATGTGTTCTACCCTGTCCATGTCGGGTGTCGCTCAGCAACTACCCAACTTAAAGAGTTACTTGAAGTATTTATTTCTTTTTCAGTTGTAATAAAAACAGTAGCTAGATATCTCTTACCAATACAAAACTACTTATCTGCCAATACAAAACTACTTACTGATCCATGGAAATAGTAACTACAAAACTACTGATCCATGGAAATAGTATCTAAGGAAGTAAACGGTACATGTCTTTTTATAGATTTCAAACTAATTAGCTATATTATGTTAATGTAATTTCAAGAAACGTGTAGAAAGAAGAATAAAACCTATAAGCTCATTACTTTCTTTCAGGATATTCTAGTGGAATATTTCAAATATGACAAATAGTTTCTATAGCTGACTTTCGTATCTTTTAAATGTTTCCGAACCATCAAGCGTCACAACATGAGACCTATATATATATAATAAACTTGCGTCAAAACATGAGACCTATATATATAATAAACTTGCGTCAAAACATGAGACCTATATAATGAACTTGGTCACAACTTGAGACCTATATAATGAACTTGGTCACAACTTGAGACCTATATAATGAACTTGGTCACAATTTAAGACCTATATAATGAACTTGGACACAACTTAAGACCTATATAATGAACTTGGTCACAACTTAAGACCTATATAATGAACTTGGTCACAACTTAAGACCTATATAATAAACTTGGTCACAACTTAAGACCTATATAATACACTTGGTCACAACTTAACACCTATATAATGAATTTGGTCACAACTTAAGACCTATATAATGAACTTGGTCACAACTTAGGACCTATATAATGAACTTGCTTCATAACATGAAACCTATATATATATAATAAATTTGCGTCACGACATAAGACCTGTATAATGAACTAGCGTCACAACATGAGACCAATATACATTGAACTAGCGTCACAACATGAGATCAATATACATTGAACTAGCGTCACAACATGAGATCAATATACATTGAACTAGCGTCACAACATGAGTCTTTTTTTATGTATTGAACTTGCATCACAATATGAGACCTATATATTGAATTTGCTTAATTCCGAAATACAAAATGGAAACAGACAGTTTTTAAAACAAGCTTACAATTTAAAACTGTAAAAATTATGGCCGCTCAAATATCTGGTAAAGCATTTGATTTTAATTGCCAACAAAGATCCATCATTAAACAAACGTTATTTTTAAAGCAATTTTGTATATTTGCTTTTTGAAAAGTTAAATTTAATACTTACTGAAACCATTAGCAGGGGTTAAATGTTTAACAACAGATATATTAGGAAAGAAACCAAATTTTACGTAAACATTCAGGACAGTATTCCAAAGTTTCAAGGAAAAGCCATTTTTATACACGAGCTCGATAATGTGATAATACAGTCGTTGGTTAAATGTGTTTGTAAATCTAACGGTGTTCTTAAAACAAACCCAAGAACGGCCTTTCAGTTTTACTTTGTAATTCTATCTCTACTGATACTCTCAAAACGACTTACAATCTTTTCTGAACATTCTTGGTGTGTTTTAATTTCAAACATTTTATTTTAAAGATTTAACTTTGTTTGTTTTGGCAGTCAACATACTTTTAGGTTCCTCAAAATCTAAACATATTGGCTTCGTTTAATGTAGTTTTGACACAACTTCTGATACTCTTCATTCTCTTAATATTTTAGTATTACACTAATTTCAATTTTTATCTAAAACGCCATTTGTTTGTTATTGTATAAAATTTAAATGGTTCACATATATTGGCGTAGGCTCTTTACTCATACAGAGAGAAATTACATGACAAGCACTTGAAGCGGTTGTAATGAACTTGTGAAATTAAAGATTATTATATGAATATGAGTATTACCTCATTTCTAGTACAGATAAAAAAAGTCCTGTGTATTTCTTAAGGTACTAATATTTCTGTTTCCCAATAGCTCTCTGGAGCTGCTATGCTGGGTATCGGTGTTTACTTTCTTGTTGATACTGACAAAGTTACACTATATCGCCTGTTCTACACTGATGGAGATTATGCCCTAATCCAGTACCTGGCATACGCTTTGATTGGAGTTGGTGGATTAGTGTTCGTTGTGGGATTCTTTGGATGCTATGGAGCCATAAGAGAAAACAAGTGCATGTTACTCACGGTAAGACTAGGATGTCTTTCTACTTATTCAAATTTTGTTATTTTGTCACCAAACAGCAAACCAAGAGATTAATGAAACGTCTGATATGCTGAAAACATACAAATTGAAAATAAACAAGCATCGATAGTTGTTGTTGTTTTTTTTCATTAGTGGCATAACAGTAAGAAATACATTATTCAATGTTTAGCGGTCTTGAGGCCATCAGTTTCTCTTTAAAAGTTTTTTGTTTCTTCACATTTCCTGAGAAACACTTGGCATTTTCTTCTATTCATCATTTTAATTTACATTTTGCGGGCTGTTTGTTAGCTTGAAAACAACCGAATGAAGCTTTATTTCAAAAACGAATATTAGTTCCATAATATTTTGGAGGAAAAGAGATGAGAAAGCCAATAGGCTTTACGAATGGCTTTTGTCCTCCAAATCATGTCACTGATGAAATGAAAAAATAAATTTGTGTACAGGTATGCTTTTTACCTTTATCTCTTCTTTTCTGTTGCTATTTGGCAAATCTGCGTACATGTTTCGGTTGTGGTACGTTGTTCTGTTAGATGTATTCAAGCATACAGTCATAAAAGATAGGTACTAGTGATCAGACCCTAACACTAGCGCCCTCGTGATCAGTGCCCTAATATCGCTGCTCTTGGTTGTTTGTTGGTTGGTCGGTTGTAATTAAGCACAAAGCTAGACAATGGGCTATCTGTACTCTGCCCACCACGGGTATCGAAACCCGGTTT